TTAATAAATGAATAAATAATTAGTATAATATTTGGTATAATATTTTTTAACAATCAATATTAAATTGAGGATCTCCTCAGGCTCATGAAGTTTATTAAACCTAATAAATGAATAAATAATTAGTATAATATTTAGTATAATATTTAGTATATTTTTTAACGATCAATATTAAATTGAGGATCTCCTCAGGCTCATGAAGTTTATCAAACTTAATAAATGAATAAATAATTAGTATAATATTTAGTATAATATTTTTTAATTTTTCTTTTGTGACATAAATGATTATCGTAAAACTGACCATCGTACACGTGCGGTATCTTCCGTTCGAAGAGCACCAAGCAAGGGAGATTGTTTATTCCGTACTCCTTCGCCTCGTCCAAGTCGCTGATTTTCACGAAAGCCACGTTGTGCTGGTCGCAGTCGTCGTCGATGTTCTCAAGTTCGCTCAGCACCTTCTGACTCTTCTTTTGATCCTTGTCGTCTGTTCGCGATAAAAAAAACGACGAAAGAAATCAATTTTCAGACCAGAAAAACGTTAAATGAAACATTTTTTTTGAGAGAAAAAGAAAAAATACTGACAAAAGAGAACAGCCACGTGCGGCATCTTTTCGATAACCATGTCGAGCATCTCGTCGGTGACGTCTTCGATTTGATCGGACTTCTGTTGTTGCTCCAGCCACTTCAACACCTTGTCCTCGTCCTCGAGATTGCCCTCGTACACCATCGGAATTCCCTTCTCGAAGTAGAGCATAGCCGGCACTTTTTCAATGCCGTACTCCTTCGATTCTTCCGCGTTGTCGATCTTAACGAACGTCACGCCGAGCTGATCGCACTCGTCATCGATGTTCTCGAGCTCGTTGAGAACCCTTTGGGACTTGCGATCGTTGTTGTCGTCTGCGATCGTCACGTGAATATATCCCTAACATCATTTATATCCGACGTATCGATCGACATATCGCGCGACCCTTCCCTTCATGTGAGAAACTTACAGAAAAGTACGGCTATGGTTTTCCCGTCCTTAATGAGACGGTCCAGCATCTCGTCGGTTACGTCCTCGATCTCGTCCTTCTCGAGTTGCGACAACAGCCACTCCAAAATTTCATCCTCGTTCTCGACGTCGCCTGCAATCAATAAGTGGGTGTCAAAGTCATTTTATATCGAAAATAAAAGAGTTTCAGAAATATATATATATCAATGGTCATGAGAGCCTAAACCAGGATGTTGTGTGGGAATAAGCGTGTATATATATATATGTATATACATATATATGTTCACATGTAAATTTTACATGTGATTTTTTGAATTGAAATTTCAATTCTAAAAATCATATAGGATGCTTGGTTTGCATCTCATATATGAAGGACCCCGTATACCCCCCGAGATTAACCTTTTCGCTCCGGGACTGGTCCATATATGGACCAACAAGAAAAGCGAACGTAATAGATGTTTATAAGATCAATTTAATGCACTAAATTTAGGAAAAAAATTGAAAAAAATCCTGGTTACTTTTTTGACCTTCAAAATTAACTTGTAAATAATTAATTAATTAATTAATTAATTAATTAATTAATTCAGCTAAAATGCGAGGTCAATTTTAAAGGAAAAATCCCCGGAGCGAAAAGGTTAAATTAAAATATTGCGAAAAAAACTCCTAGCCGGAGATTCCAGGTTCGACTCCTGTCTGAGGAGTTTTTTTCGCAATACAGGGTCCGCCACTTAAATCCGGACAAAAATTTTTTTCTCGAAAAAGTTGTTTATTACAGAAAATATNAAAAAACATAAATAGACTGCTTTATAGCTGGGTTAAGGGATCTTTTCTGAGACATTTTACTCAATGTATCCGCCCTGCG